TCCCTCCGCCCCCCCGGCCGGCTCCGCGCGGGGGCGCGCAGCGCCCAGGTCGCCGTGGGGCCTCCTGCAGGCGCCCGGGAGAAGCGCGCGCCGACGCGGGCGGCGGGGGTGCGGGGCTGCCGGGGACCATCTTCCTCTCCAGGCAAACGAAACTGGCGAGGTCATTAGTCAGTGCTTAAACCTTGTCTTTCCGAAACCTTGTCTTTAGGATCTTGTCAGCATCCTGACTGACAGCTTTATGGTATTTATTAAAGACCTAGGAACAATGAGGCTAATATCTGAGATACTCATTGAAGGCCCGGAAGAATTAGGTACAGCAGATGACACTGTTGAAAAATCACAAAAGCACCCGATTTGAGCCACAGTTGTGTTGGCCCTTGGAATGGGCTTGGAGGCCCTTGGTGAGAAAAACAGCCATGTCCAGCATTGGGAGAACTTACTACTTCCAGACACATAAATTAATGGATGTTACAAGAAATGTAAAAGTACGGGTGGACAGGTTTATCATTGTGATTTTATTTTTTAACGTGCTGTAAAGTAACCACTTTTATTAATGAGCCAATCTAAACAGGGATGAAGGATTAACTGTGACTGCCCCTCCAAGTCGCAGTAAGGTCTCGTACTTCTCTTTTTATAGCTGGGAATCATTCTTGGCTGTGTGTAATGTTTATAAGGCATGTCTGATCTCATTGAATAAAAATTTTTTTGAGTTTGAAGTTCAAGTTTATCATAGCAATAAAAGTACCCTTTTATATTCCTGGATTAAAGTTGCTATAATTAATGAGAAACGCAAGAGAGTCAAAAGAAACCGATGACATTTTAAGAAGTGTATTGAAAATCCATTGCGATACCTTCCAATGCCATACCACTTTACGGTTCAACATTGTTCACACCTATTTCATTTGACCTTTGCAAATATGGATGAGAAAACCCAAGCTCAAGGTAACTAAGTGATTGCCCACATTCTCTAAGTAATATGTTGCTGAGGAGACCTCTGACACCAGAAGCCGACCTATCAGCATGGACTGAACTTTGGAAATCTATTTCTCAGCACTCTCTACCTTATCCGTTCAGGTTAAGAGTTTGAGCTGATAAATAACCGCTCAGCAGCTTCTCGGTACCTGTGGCCATTTTAAATGTATAACCAATTTGTTCTCAAAGTATAGTCCCTAGACCAGCTGTGTCAACATCACCTGAGAACTTGTTAGAAATGCAAATTCTCAAGCACTACTCCAGAGAAACTCTGGTCAGAGAACCCAGCACTCTATTTGAAGAAGCCCTCCAGAAGATTCTAATGTACCTTAAAGGCTGAAACTACCATTATGGAACAGCATCCCCAGCCTTACTTTGTTTTCTTAGAACCACGAAACCATCAGGTTCCAACGAGATACCTTAAAACTGAAAGATGTGAACAAACACTGGCCAAAACATACTTTAAATATATTAGTACATTTAAAAGCAAAATTGAGATTATATAATATAATTTTACAATTAAAATAGTTACCTTAAGGCTTGGTCATAGACAAGGCATTGTCAAATGTTCATTTGTTTCTTCTAAAGGAGACAGGAAAGCTCTCTGAGCAGCTTTTGGAACTGATCCCAAGCTTTCCAACACACAAAAAGATGTAAACAAGGATAAAATTCCAATACTACATCAGTTTCCACACCAGCAAATATCTGCTGTAGTTTAATATAAAAAGATTGACTGTAATGGGGGTGAGGTAGACTGGAAGAAGTGGAAACTAGAACTAGATATATCCATGGAACTGGAGACAGACCCCACTGGTGACATGAGCTTGCAGCCAGAAATCAGTATCTGGAGGGACATACTTTAGCAGCAGCCAGGAAGGCAGCCAGGAAGGCAGCCAGAATCAGGCTGGCTCAACACAGAGAATGTGAGTATTGTAAACCAATGGACAGCGGGACCACAACCTTGAGAAATCCGAGAGCAGACAAAAATTGGGAAATCATGGCAAGCATTAAGAAAATGTGTTGCTTATAGCAAGGCCCCAGCCTCAGTGCCATCTTCCAGGTCTAGATTCCTCTCTCTGTAAGGAACTGATGAAAACAAATAGAATTCAGGTCTTTGAGATGATGTACTGGACAAATTTGGGGGACAAGGACTTGGGCTCAGTGCAACCGCACAAGTATCTAAAGGCCAGATCTGGTGACAGAGTGAGACTTAGAAACAAAGCAGGAGCTTAATACCTAGAACTGAGACTGAATTTTCACACTGATCATGATTGCCTTTTGTTGAAGTCCCAGAATGTTAATATGGAGCTCTAATTCCCCTCCAGTATGGCTGGAGTGGATCCAAGAACCTAGAGATGGGAGTCACATGGCACCAGCCACTGAATAAAAAGGGGTCAGCAGGATGGGCAGGTCCAGAAGGTTGAAAAGACAATTACAGACTACATCTTTCAGCTTCAGACTGGTAAAGCATTTTAGAAAAATGCTAATTAACTGACTTAGGGAGTTAGCAATTGAAAGAATTCAATGGAATGGATGACCTTTCCGAAAGACTGACTCAGGAGTTGAAGTGGGGGTGGGAAGATGGAGAAACCTACAGTGCTTTTTATCTGTAGCTTTCAAAATGTTTATGAATGCTGCCACAACAAGCTTCTTATTCTACAAACAGGAAGTCAAGGCACAGAGAGGTTAAATGCTTTGCCCAGAGTAACGTACTCTATCGTACCCATAAATTATAAAAGCAGGACAAAAACTAAGAAATCTAATTTGCTAAGTGTTAACCCTCTTAGCCAATGCATAAAAGCCATTAATAATGTTACACTTAGCAGGTCAAAGTTAGCAGCCATGACATACTGCCAAACTATCACCTGACATTTGCTCATCTTTCAGCTAATTCTATTAAGATTATACTCACTGACTAGTTTTTAGGGCCCTTGAGGACTGGGATTGCTCTGACAGCAGATGCTCTCTCTTGCCTGAAAAAGACAAAGCAGAGTGTGCAAAACATTCTAATGACTTCCACCCAACCCCACCTTGGAGCAGAGGCATACAATCTGCAGGCTTTGTCAGTTTATGTGCCACGAATGATCTACTTTAGACATTGTAGACCACATGTCCTGCCCACAACCTAAATGCCATAGGTTTCCATGCCTCCCCCGTCCCACCCCAGACCAGCCCTTCTTATTTATTTCTCTCAGTGAAACCAACGTTTTTAAACTGGCTCGGACTTAAAAGCTCATATGCTTTTCCCCATGGTCTGGTTTCCTAGTCTTTTTCCTGCTCAATCCTTCATTTACGTTGCCAAAGTAACCATCCTCCTGGATGCCCTCATCAACTCAAACCAAATAGCCTCCTATTGCCTCCAACCTCTGTTCAAAATCATGCTACATTCCACCAACAAATTAATCTCCCTAATCCACTTTTCCCACACCCCTTCCTTTCTCCGAAGCTTTCAATTCTCTTCTGTTGCCAATAATGCCAAAAGCATACTCCTTAGTCAGGCATTCAAGGTCCCCCCACAACCTGAATCACTATTTTCTCTAACTCAGCTCCCACTGCTCCCCAGCATGAACCGTTTTTACTGGTGAATATCAGCATACCTGTCTATTTATTTTTACATATCAGCCCATGCAGTTATTAATTTCTGCCTCTAAGCTCTTACTCAGGCCATTCGCCTTACCCAGGAAAACTTACTCCTCCATCTGCCTCCTAAAATTCACTATGACTACTTTAAACTAATGCATCTATTTTTTGAATAGCCTAGAGCACTCATATCTTCCATTTATTTAGCACTTAAATATGTACTACTTTATATTCCTCCAACTAAAATGTATATTCCTTGTGGACAAGGCACTTCTCAGCCTGTCACACAATACCTAGCAGAAAGCTGTTAAGATCGATACTCAGTCAATGTAAGTTGAATAAATAAAGCAATACAGAAAGCAATGACTTGGCAATTAAAGATTGAATCTAGTTTAGCTTTCATTTGGTAACTCTAACATTCTAAAGCATTTCACCAGCTTAGAAGATCAATTCAAGGTAGAAATAAAATATGGAATAAAAATGAAGATAATTTAGAAGAGAAGAGAAATGCTGTAAAATTCTTCCCTGGTTCTCTTTTTGGTTATTGCTATATACCATTTTATATCATATCAGGGAAATAAATGTCAAAGAGGGAGAGAGGGACTTTCCAAATCTTACATAATGTAATTACAAAATACCAATATCTGGATAGGGAACTAAACAAGCAAAATAAAAGCAGCTCATCCTTCTTGGAAATCTCAACTCAATCTACTCTTTTTTAAATGTCAGTTCCATATGATAAGTACTTTAGAACATGTTTTAATTGACACTAACTAGTTTAGTAATTCTCGCTGTGGTTTTGTGTCATCCTGATGGTATCTTCTGTTATATTTCAATTCACTTTTCTTAAGCCCACACACAGTGGAGAAGGTCAATGAAAGAGGAAGTATATATATCGCAAAACTCCCCATACTGGGGGATCCTGAATTAGAAACAATATATTCAGGCATTATTTCCCATCTTTTGACACTAGATTGTACTATG